CACAACTATTCTTTGATTGATATTATCATCCTTGTACTGATATAAGATCACAATAACAAAGTCGCTCCAAACCTATGTAATGGCTATATCGGTCAAATAAAAATGACATCTGAACAAAGAGAATATTCTCAACAAGATGAACATACTGACGTATTTGAATAACATTAAATTTTCCTATTTTCAATTGTTCAGTTTAGATTAATTCAGAAGAATATTCACTATAATAAGACTTTAATCTTCTTGTCGATAATTGTTAATAATTGTGTGAAATTTTTATGAAGTATTTTTATTAATTTCATTCATCAATAGATTACGAATTTTTATAATATTTGATCATAATTGTAACCTAAATAAAAATTTGTTTTATTTACTAACAGTTATAATAAATACTCTATTTTGGATATTTTACATATTTTATAAATTTTGTTCTTCAAATCCCATAAAAATTCGCAGCCTACTTATTAGTTTATAATATTTTCAAACTCTGTATTTTATAATATAAAAAAATATATTTTAATGAAATTTGACTATAAATAATAAGGTATCTTTATGCAATAAAAATTATTAAATTAATATGCGCACAGTATTAGAATATAAATGTTTATTACCTTTGATGTACAATTAAATTCAAAATCCTCTCTATAGGCTGTACGTTAAATTAATGAAGAGCGACTGGTTATTCAGGTAGTATTATGCAGAGACGAGAAGGCGGTTAACAGAACATCACGCGATACTGCATAATCTTGTTTGTAGTTTAGGAACTTTCGGTTAGCATGTATTAATAAATGTACTTGAAATTATCAGGACAATCAATCAGAAAATCTAGGAATTCTAAGAAATTCTATGTAAAAAAAGTTGCATGTCTTTACCAAGCCAATTTCTCATTTCTTCATGACTATGCTTTTCTTATGTTTTTATGTTTCTGCTTGTTTTCTGTATGTTTTTGTCTGACTATTTTCTTCTTATTTTTTTCTTTCTTTTTTTAGTTTTATTGAACGAAGGTAACTGTGTGTTGATCAAATGTAAAGATACGTACTAATAATTCACGTGGGATGACAAGAGAAACTGTGTGGAAATGATTAAATTAAATTGATTATATAAATAACTCGTAATAATTTGATTGTGCTAAATTATTTATGCCAAAATAAATGTAGGACTGATTCTGCTGAATTTTGAAAATGCAAAGTTGCATATTTGAAGTCAAGTAAAATAATAAATTTAGATTGGTAAATTTGTTTTAAAGTGCTTGAATTCAATCGAGTTCTAATCAAATAATGTTTAGACCAAAGGAACAAAATATTGTTCGTTCGCTCTCCTTTTCAATAAAAAATTCGTACTTGTATCTGTATATTGCATTAAATGAGTGTTAGTTCTAATATGAGTACAAATTTGAAACATTCACGTGGTCACATGACGTATTAAGATTTCGTATAAGCGTATGCATGTTAGAATTATACTGATTTATTGAATCTATGTCCTACGTATTTTCGTTTTCGAATTATAAATAATTGAAACAAATGTTCGATGTGTCCATCTTGTGCTTCAGTCATGTTATCATATGTATGTACATCGTAGTACGCCAAAACCTTATACATTCTTCATAAACATTTTTTATAAGAAATATTTATAGATACAAATTAAATAGAATTCGACTCGTTAAATTTTTATTTTTGATACAGCATACAAAATATCTATTGTGTATTCAATTTAGATAAATAATTTGTAAGATCTGCAAGAAAAAATTCAGAATGGATTTGAGACTATTCGAGAAATATTTTTTTAGGTATTTTCGAGTAGTACTGAATCTAATGTTAATGTATACAGTTATATTGTGACATAAGATGAACAAATTGAATATTTTATATAACATTGTTTATTATATATTTTAATATGTAGATTTATCACTCAAAATATGGACATATACTTAAGAATTACTCTAAATTATAAAAATTATATAAAATTATAAGGTTATAAATTATATAAAATTATAAAATTATATAAAAATTATATATAGAATCATACGTATAGAATTCAAATAGAATCCTGTAATATTATATTTAATGTATATGTAATTCGATTTATCTTAGAATGCACTATCAATGTTAATCCATACATGTTGAAAAATCACTGGTTTAATAAATATTTTAACTTTAATTTTGTAAATCCTTTACTTTGCACATGACAAGTTTTATATTTTTTTAAATTAAAATATTTTTTTAAATTGAAATTAAAATATCTGTTAAAATATTAGTTTTACGATGTAAATGAAAATACATTTTTATAGAAAATGCTGAAGTGAAACAATTAATAGATTTAAAAAATATATGGTTCTATTTAAAAAAAATAAAATTCTTTATGTATTTTTTATGTATTTATCTACAAAAAAGTTTACATTAAATTACTTCCCTTTGAAATAGAATAAATCTTCTTTGAGACATTTTGTGATATATTTGTAATAATTTCGAAAATATTTTAATTTTCAGTGTTACATACCTCATCCAGTACGTAATTGTAATACGCAAATATCTTACTTTCGATATTTTATCGACTTTTGTGTATTATATGCATCGTGTGCATATTTTGCAACTTCCAATTTCCTATAAATATATAAATCAATGGTCTCGTGTAAAAGATCTAATGATTTAGATAGTTTCACAGCAGACTCTCTATATATGTAAATACAGTTAAGATAATGTAATAACATTGGATAAACCGAATTTTCGAAAAACAAGGTTTCGAGGTTTATTAAAACAAGATCTGTTGCTCAATAGCGTTTAAAACTACCTGTTAGTTTTGATTACTTGGTACCTACTAGTTTACTACTGATAACTAGTTATCAGTAGCCTACTAATTAATTTTGATTTATGGTCAAAGTTAACATATACACATACATATGTATATAAAGTTCACGTCGTGTAAGACTGGATTAGTAGTTGAATGTTAAACAGAATAGAATAAAAAAAAAAGATTAATGTGGAGATACTAAGACTTACTCTTAGAGCAAATAATTGGCGCGATGGTACTTTCATAATCCAGACCTGATAAATTATAGTCGGAAGATAACTTTTCAGCTTTATGTATAATTTATTTGGATGCAACACGTATTTTGTGCATTTTCCTCATCTACTGTATTTAAATGTTACAAGTACAACTGAAAAAATGTTAGAAGAGAAAATGGTCATTTTATGCAGTACTGACAAGAAATTAAATTATTTAATTTAAATTTAGTCATAAAAATTTTAATTAATTTAAAAAAATTTAAATTTTAAAATATAATTATATTATGAAAATTTTGCTGTTATTATGCAATTTAATTCTACTGTAAAAATTTAAATTGTTATGAAATTTGATTATATTTTACTTTGGGCATTTATATGCTACAAATTTGACTGAACAAATGTTATAGAATATAAGTCATTTTATACAATGACAGCAATTACATTTTATACAATGATAACAATTAAAATTTATTTTTATTTATTAGTTACATTAGTTAGAAAGATACATTAAAATTTTTAAATAGAAACCTATTTTTTATTACACGTTCTATCTGATGTTCAGACGTTTTCAAAACACTACAAATTTTTTTTTTTATTTTACAAGAAATTTAAATAAGCTTTTTCTCCAAACATCAGACGTCTTCCGATCAATATGCTAACGAATTTATCAATCTAGACAATCTATATTTCATAGAAATTACCAGGAGAACAGTGCATAGAATAGTAGAATAGAATCATTGATCGTCTCGCAATAATTTTCTGTTTATTAAGGCACTATTTGCTAACGGAGAATGAAAAATATAAGCTATCTATATGAAGGTTTTCATCCATTATGTATGCATATCAAGTGTCGTTGTTATGTTTCAGTGTAATATCAACGTGCTATAACGAAAATTTTACTTATGTGAAGTACCATGCAAGACACTTCACGTAAAACCCTCATAGCCACCCTTTCAGATTAGTGAACGGACTGAATGAATATTGCTTTACACAGAATTGCATGTAAAGTGCAATACAATAAGGAGAAAGTGATTTCAAATTTTCTAAAGTAAATAAAATGCTTAAAATTAGTATAATGTTTCCCATTTGCTTTGTTCTCTGGACTATGGATTTAGGAAATGTATCGAATACTCACGCAACAATGATTTTGATTTCATCGCAGATTTCTTCTGAAGAAATTTAAATTTATAAACATATTTGACGATAATACGAAAGAGTTCAATTACACATTAATATTCTTTAATTAATATGTGTATAATATTACTTGGAAATTATTGCATTTGATGAATACGAATTTTCAATTATTGCGAAAGTTATATATTATTTAGACCTAACGTTTAAAATGAAATAATTCATGTTTGATTACTTTATCTTTTTTCCAAATAATTGAATTCGAATAAATAACTGCTAATTCTAAATTTATATTAATATGAAGAAGAAGTTTTTGCATTTTGTGTGCACTTATTTTTAAAATATATAAATTTGCTCGTGTAAGAAGCAAATATTATTATAAATAACATTGATAGTGTAGCATAAGAAAAAAATCTCGACATTTTCTGTTTATTGATCTTACACTTAACTGGTAATAAACATTGATATTTTGACTCTATATTGATCCTAAATTTTATTTTGACACGTGGAAATAACAGAATATACATAATATGCAAAAATCAATAAAACAAGCAAGTTACAGTACTTGCTATAATATTATAATGTTGTAATATTTAATAACAGTCTTCTGTCTAGATTCCATTTTCTTAATTATCTTCACAAAAATGTTATTTTGCATAAATATTCTCAATTTAATTATGACAAATTCATCTTTTCGTTAAGAATATCTTTAACCTGTAGTTATCTACATTGATAATACAATTGAATAACGAGATCATATATAAAATATATATTTTGATATGATTAACTAGATAAAAGAGTAATAATTGTTTAATATTACGAAGAGACACGTTAGTACTTGTCAATAAAATTGCGTGATCAGGTTGCATTATGCCTAATCATAATATAACTAAGAAAAGCAATCCAAGTAGCGTTATATAGCTTGCTTGCACTCAATTTGTGCCACCTTTGCTCCCCCTTTCCTTTCCCAAGAGCCATCCATTGTGTACGACGAGCTTGCTTGCACGCATACCGTTTGCTGTGAATAAAAGCACAAAACGAGACAGCAAGACAACATGTAGTTATATTATTACAGAGCAACGTATAATAGTATAACTTTTACATAGAAAAAAAATTTTAACATGAATAAAATAACGATTAAATCTACCGTGATTCAACCTACCGTGATCTTGAAGATTGTTAATTTAATTTAAATTAATTCAATTTAAACAGGGTGATTATTTCCAAAGCTATATCGTTTTATTTGACGTGAAATTTTACTATTTCGTAAAATAAATTGCTGGTAGATGGTAGAAAAAATGTTCGAAGGCAGAGAGTTAAATATCGATTTTTCTAATACTTTTTATTTTATACGTTATAATTTATAAAAGGTATAATATTAATGCGTAATAACATAAATTTAATATTTCAAAATATTATTTTATATTATTGTATTTGTATTTTCCATAAATATTATAATTGGATCATTTCCGTGGTAAATAGTGAATGAAAGACATTCCTTTTTCACAACATTCAACTATTGAGTTTTAGCATCTTATGTGATGCATATCCATACATATTATCTGCTATCGCAATATTCGCGTTCGTAAAATATTCATTCTTTTTCGTGTCTCAGCTGTTTAATAAAAATTTTCCTAATTTGAGAAATCTATTTTATTTAAGTGTTTGGTCCAATTGTAAATAATTTAATATAATAGGAATGTTTCTTTGAACAAAAAAATATATTAAAAATACCTATGACATTGATTTTAAACACGTGTGAAAATTGATTTAAAATATAAGCGATTTAAACTGATTAAATATTTATAGACTATAGTTGCACAAACAAGTTTAAAATTAAACAAAGTTATAAGTTTTGCTTGACTGCGGATCTTCGCGCAATTTCAAATGTCTTTTATGAAATGTCTAAACAAAGATTCGTTTCTGTTATTAAATATTACAACAAGTATTAATTTTTCGATATTTTGGCAGATTATGTACATTCTTTGCGTTTTTGAAGCTTGAGATTTCTCATAAATGAAAATCCACAATCTAGTTGTAAGAAAAATATTAAAATAAAAAAGTTTCTCCAAATATTATGGTTGCAAAATATTAATAATAATATGTGATATGAAATACGTCAAATCGTTTATATCATAAAATGTAACAAAATAAAGATTTGTTTTAACTTTTGAATACATTTAACAAATCTATGAGTAGGTAGATATAAAATAATAACAATGTTTGTTCATTATCTTATTTTTTTACTTGTTATATGTTCATATTTGATAATAATCAGACAAAAATTTTTGTAGAAGGCAATACAAAGGAAATTTTTGCAAATTCTTTTAGAGAGTGATCAAGGTTATTCAATGTGAGAAAATAAACTGAAACTGTTATGTTTTTGTTTTCAAGAGAATCAATTTTTAATATTTTTTATATTTATAATATAAATTTTTCAGTGATTTCAGACAAATGAACAATCAATTCTGTGGAGTTTCAGATTCTATATGGAAAAATAAGAAAATGTGGAATAAAACTTTTTCATAAGATACATTGCTTCTGAGACAATTAAATTTAAAAATATATTAACATATGCATCAAATGAATTTTTAACAAAACATGTTCAAAGTCTATTTTATTTTATTTTTTATTTAATTTTATTTTACAGTTTTTACTTATTTTTGTACGTAGAAAAACCTTCTATCAATTATTTACCACAGCCTCAAATGAAATTAGTTAAATTTCAAATGTATGAATTTTCATATTTTATTTTCTTATAAACGAAATTTTGAATGAAAAAATGTTATTCTTTTTTTTCTTTATTTTAAAATTATTCAATTGACAACACGACACTATATTTTTAGAACAATTTGAGATAGAAGAAAATAAATCAGAATATTTTATTGTAAATTCGTGTATTCATTTTAATGAGCGATATACGATAAAACTAAAAATCGTTTACGTACGTTCCTTTTCATTGATAAGATTTTGACAGATTTTTAAAAGAAAAGGAATTACTTTTATGTTATGATATTAGCATATTCCCAATCTCTTTACTATTAAGTAGTTTTTAATTTTTTGTATTTTTAATAACCAAAAATATCATAAACTCAACATTTCTGAAAAATCAGTCGAGGAAAATATTTTAATTGAAATTTTTAATTGGACGCATAGTTTAAAATCAACTGAAAATTTTACGTGCTACTTTGAAAGATCACATCCATCCAGACATTATCATTACATTATACATAGCCCTTCAAACAGTGTGATTTTGTTCTGAGAAACTTTTGATACAATGCCAAGTAACGGAGATATTTAACTGTCCTCTTTCTCGTGTTCCTCTTGCTCAATTTATATAGTTCACTAGTCAGTAGAGATAGATTTAACAATCGCACATTTGTTTTTCATATTCAAATTAATTGTTCAGTATTAATTTAACAGAGAATATTTGCGAGAAAACTGTACACCAATTTAATAATTGTACAACCAATTTAATTTAATTGTGAAAAAGGAACAAAGACTAAGGACCAACTTATTAAGCACTAAGCGATAATTTATTATAATGATTTCAATGATTTGAAACAAAAAAGATGTAACTCCACAGAATTATTTATATTAAAAGAGTTGGATAATTCAGCATTAAAACGTAGCATTAAAACATTCTTACATATCGAAATATACTGATAATTTCCTTAATATTCATTTCAACACATATAATTCAATTTTAGAAATAGGATTGTTCTATTATTCGAAAATTCTATTAACTGAATACTTTTATTTCCCTATTAATTTAGATATGGAAGATTCTATTTCTGTATTTATAAATACTATAGTAACCGAGATAAAACATAGAATCATTGATTAGCGAGTGGTATCATAGAAGTGCGTGGGTACATCTTTATGAATATCACCGTCTTGGTGCGTGACATTTTTAGTAATTGCCATTGTTAGGAGAATAATTTAATAAAATAATAATAAAATATTAATAAAAATTAATAAAATATTATTATTATCATCATTATTGTTGAAATTACTAAGTTTATATTTATGTAAATGAATAATAAAGCAATAAATATAAATATAATTATTATATTTATGAATTTGCATATTCACATTAACTACAAATTTGTTTTAATGAAATGTTTGAAACTAGTGATTTATTATTATTGAAAAGACTGTATAAGTGGAGTAAAACCGGGCACGTGGATCATATCGGACACCATTGTTTTTTTGAATGATTTTTTAATCGAACTGTGACATGATATTGTTTTACAACTTTTGAAAACAATTAACATCGTAGTGTTCCATACAGAGTAGAATTAGAAATTGCGGCTTGAAGAGTTTCAATGTTTTGTAAGTTAAGTGATTGTTTTTTTATTGTTTTTCCATTCAGGAATCCATTCAGATAAATAATATTTGTATTCTATAGTCCTTACAGAATATTTCAATTCTCTTCAGTATTTTGATCCATTTCAAATCCAAAGAACAACGGATTCAATGCACTATGTGATATGTACAAGTGTTGAAGAGGGCGATGAATGTTTTATTTGCGACTTTTGTTTTGTTAATTAAGATATATGTATATTCGTTTTTGGGAAAATCAAGTTTGAAAACTGTCAAGTTTCTCAACTATAGTTAAAATGTAAGTTTGGAATCATGTCAGCAATAAATAGTGAATAAGATATTATTCTACTTACGAAAATAAGTTAAGAGTGTGGAATTTAATTTTTTCATAACACGCTTCGTTTTCGAGGAAATTCAATTAGAAAATTTAGCAAATACATATTAACAATAAATCAATTTTTAATTTAATTAAATATATTCAAGCTATTTTTTTTTTAAATAAGGTCTTGCAAAACATTTTATTCTATATTTTTCATTTATTTCTACAGGTAAAAATAACCTTCTGTTGATTAGGCGATTATTTTACTCCTCCTCTCAGTTTATAATTAGAAAATAATTTGATGATTATACTTTGAATTTGATAAATGCAAATAATAATTGATAGATTTTCTTTCACTTGAAAAGGTGCTACATGAAAAAATTTTATTTTTTATTTTTGATTTAGTTTTTCATGCACAATCACTTGGTGATACTTTTAATATTAGAACCCTGTATAGAATATTCAAATTTGTCAAAATAAATAAAGAAATTCGTCAAAGAGGAAACAATTATAAGAAGTTATGTATTCATCGTTCAAAATTGTATATAAAAAGTTTACGATATTTTTTTATTTCTAAATATTTCTTTATTTTTACGGTTTCAATTTCTATACGTTATGAATTAGTATATTATTAGGTTGGTAAAAATAATATGTCGATTTTTCAAAATCCTTAATAGCACGTAGTTTCTTTAGAATATCATGTATTTAATAAAAATGATTTTCATACAATTTAATCCATTTTCCTAACTAACTACATTATTTCAAATTTCTGAAAATTATCTATTTAAAAAGACCATGAAATGAAATTATTGCAGGTTACTTTTCATTAACTTACGCAAAAGATTATTTAAATAAAATATGTTTGAAAGATGTTTTTAATATTTTCTTCATGTAAGACGAATATTTTGATTATCCGTAAATGCTAATAATGAAATTCTAACGTTCTTATTAAAAATTTTCTTCGTGTTACGTGTTTGTAACAAATTCTCTACTGCTTAATACGATGGATAGGATGAAATTTAATAAAGCTGTTATTGATTCATCAAAATTCAATTCTAAATAATCAACATTTCATATGCACTAATCTAATGCACGGTATAACACTTCACACGCATTTATTTTAATTCATTTCCGAACATTTTTTGTTTATTTCATTATATATTCTAATATATTACTTATATATATAATTTCTGAAAATAAATGATCAAACCATTACAAAATACGAATAAGACAGAAGTTATAGTTCAAAAAAAAAAAAATTGCATGAGAAAATGTTCGCTACTTTAAATGCACAATGGTTTAGAAAAAAAAAGGTAAGAAAATTGTTGATCACTATTGTGACAAGGAAAGGAAAAATAGAAAGTCGGATGGTAAGGAGAAAATGGTGGCGGAGCAGCGCAATGGAGAAAGAGAGACAGAGAATGAGTGAGAGTGAGTGAGTGAGTGAGTG